GGGGTTTCACCATGTTGACCAGGATGGTCTCGATCTCTTGACCTCGTGATCCACCCGCCTCGGCCTCCCAAAGTGCTGGGATTACAGGCGTGAGCCACCGCGCCCGGCCTCGTTGATCTTTTTTAAAAAACCAGCTCCTGGATTTATTGACTTTTTTGAAGTGTTTTTTTGTGTGTGTGTGTCTCTATCTCCTTCAGTTCTGCTTTGATCTTAGTTATTTCTTGTCTTCTGCTAGCTTTTGAATTTGTTTGCTTTTGCTTCCCTAGTTCTTTTAATTGTGAATTTGTGTTGTCAATTTTAGACCTTTCCCACTTTCTCTTGTGGGCATTTTAGTGCTATAAATTTTCCTCTAAACACTGCTTTACCTGTGTCCCACAGATTCTGGTATGTTGTATCTTTATTCTCATTGGTTTTAAAGAACTTCTTGATTTCTGCCTGAATTTCATTATTTACCCAGTAGTCATTCAGTAGCAGGTTGTTCAGTTTTCATGTAGTTGTGCGGTTTTGAGTGAGCTTCTTAATCCTGAGTTCTCATTTGATTGTACTGTGGTCTGAGAGACTTTGTTACAATTTCTGTTCTTTTGCATTTGTTGAGGAGTGTTTTACTTCCAATTATGTGGTCAATTTTAGAATAAGTGTGATGCGGTGCTGACAAGAATGTATATTCTGTGGATTTGGGTGGAGAGTTCTGTAGATGTTGATTAAGTTCGCTTGGTCCAGAGCTGAGTTCAATTCCTGGATATCCTTGTTAATTTTGTGTCTCATTGATCTGTCTAATATTGACAATGTGGTGTTAGAGTCTCCCACTATTATTGTGTGGCAGTCTAAGTCTCTCTGTAGGTCTCTAAGAACTTGTTTTATGAATCTGGTTGCTCCTGTATTGGGTGCATACATATTTTTGTTGTATTGATCCCTTTACTGTTATGTATTGTCTTTCTTTATCTTTTTGATCTCTGTTGGTTTAAAATCTGTTTTATCAGAGACTAGGATTGCAACCCCTGGTATTCTTTTCTGGCTTTCCATTTGCTTGGTAAATATTCCTCTACCCCTTTATTTTGAGGCTATGTATGTCTTTGCACGTGAGATGGGTCTCCTGCATTGATGGGTCTTGACTCCTTATCCAGTTTGACAGTCTTGTGTCTTTTAACTGGGCATTTAACCCATTTACATTTATGTGTGAATTTGATCCTGTCATGGTGATGCTAGCTGGTTATTTTGCCTGTTAGTTGATGCAGTTTCTTTGTAGTGTTGATGACCTTTACAATTTGGTATGTTTTTGCAGTGGTTGGTACCAGTTTTTCCTTTCTATATTTAGTGCTTCCTTTAGGAGCTCTTAGAGGGCAGACCTCGTGGTGACAGAAGCTCTCAGCATTTGCTTGTTTGTAAAGGATTTTATTTCTCCTTCACTTACAAAGCTTAGTTTTGCTGGATATGAAATTCTGGGTTGAAAATTCTTTTCTTTAAGAATGTTGAGTATTGGCACCCACTCTCTTCTGGCTTGTAGGATTTCTGCTGAAAGATCTGCTGTGAGTCTGATGGGCTTCCCTTTGTGAGTAAGCT